GCCGCCTGAAGTCACTCTCTGATTAAAGGCTATACTGCACCACAACTGCCAAGCTTTCTCTGCTCTTGTTTACTCGTCCCGTTGTGAAGTCGAGCGAGTCGAGCTGAACAGTGAAATGCGAATCAGGAAAGGGAGACAGAGAGAGGGAGGAAAGTCAAGCTGCTGCTGCTGCTGCTGCTGCTGCTGCTGCTGCTGCTGCTGCTGCTGCTGCTGCTGCTGCTGTGCATGCGATGCACAGTAGTGAGTTTGTGAAAAAAGAGAAGGATAATGTGCACTAGTGAGCTAGTTGGGTCTGCGGTAGCGGGTGCACCGCCTCCCATATAGTATTGATCTTTGACGTTTTTTTGGACAGGTCAGCCTTGGAGACCGTTCCAAATCGTAATCGCCAAAAAGTTTAAATGACAGTCCCCATGGTCACTACGCCGGGCCATGAGCAAGTCCTTGCTGCTAGACAGTTAGTGAAAATGTCTAATTGCCCCAAAGGAAGGTGGTAGTAGGTCGTACTTTCACCGACAAATGAAGAACAATGTGGGTTCGAGGGAGTAAGTGAAGAATACCGCCCCTTCATTCCATCTAAAACCATTACGCCGCGCCCCCTCTTCGATTATTCATTTTGCTGTTCTCTTATCGGATTAACTTTGTCCCGTCCTCTTTCTTTTCTCACCCCCTCCCCCGACGACGCCCCCAGCCTTCCGCTGTATCCGAGCGACCCTCACTCCTCCCCTCTCCGATGTCTGCTGATCGCTTCGTGACTCCCGAAATAGTGGCAAAAGTTTCACGGCAAGAGGAAAGAAACGTTATGGTCGTCGCTTCGGTTTGGCCATTTCCTCGCTTGGTATCATTCTCTGCGCAAGGCCGTCCCAAACACTGTTTTCATAAAATGTCGTGTTCCAAAAGTCTCTAAAACAAGATTGGCGCGAAAGAAAACTCGACTGTCTCGTGTTTTTTCTCTTGAGTCTACAATAATCTGACTTCACTCACTCACACTTGAAGAGGGGCTCGCTCGCACGCACGTATTCTGGAGCCAAGGCACAAAACTAGGCGAGACACACGGTGTGGTGGTTGGCGGTGATGTTGTGTGATGTGAGATTCCGTGAGGCATCTCATACCCCTTAACAGGTAGGGGGCGGCCGCAACCCCCCCCCCCCCCACCCTACCTCTTCTCTCTCTTTCTCTCTCTGCTACTGCTTCCCTCCCCCTAGCTTCAGAGAAAAGGGAGGGGAGGCGCTCAGCTGGCAGATTTCAAAGGAAGGGGTGAGGGTGGGGGCCGGGAGCCAAACCTCCACTTGGCAGGGCTCACAGGCCCCAGCGCCCCGTCGGGGAGGGGTGGCTCGGGACGCGCGGGATGGGAGGGTGGTGGCGGCTGGGGGTCGGGTGGGCAGTGGCGGGGGGTAGCCGATCCGCGTTCACACTGAGCACGGCCCCATCGGGCCCCATCTCCTCCCACCCCCACCCCCTCTCTCTCTCTCTTCTATAATATCGTCCCTATCTGATGCGCTTGGTCGGCCAGCGAGAGAGACTCGCATCAGAGAGAGAGACCAGCAACAAGCAGCACGCTGACGGAGCTCCTCGCCGGCGCATGCGTAAGCGCGGTATAGCGGTGCGGAATGTATTTTCTTTTCATCACCGAGGCTCGCACACCTCTTACCGCTGAGACTAAAGTACGCCGCCGCTGCGACGAGCTGATGTGCTGTTGTGGCCACATTGTGGCCTCAAGGGAACAAGAGTTGCGGACCCGTAGGCTATTTAACGCTCGTCTGACCGGCGAACTAAAATTTTCCCCCAGAATGAAAAGAAATTTAAAAATTATGCTTTCATAACAACACGTAAACAACTCGTTTTGGAATTCAACAATTGAAGTTTGACCTTAAGTAGTCTGATAAATTATTTGAATGAAGAATTTGTGATACATTTCTTCTTCTGAAACAGAAATTGGGCGACCAATACAACAAATTGACCGAGATTGACTTGTTATAGAACACCAGGTGCTACTCGCCAATTCAGGAGTTGTAATCTGAGGACAGGAGTTGCACAAAAAATGTGCAAATACTACGACATTTCTAGAGCTTCAATTAAAATAATTGTGTTGTTTTAAATCAAAAAGCGACAGTCATCATCAGCTATTTTTAACAGTATAGCTTTGTTTTTCCAATGACGCGTCCAAGTTTATGTATATGCTCTAGCGTTTACCGCAGACAATGCTTTTTCCAAGTAAGGTATTCCTTGAAGAGGGGCATTTCTTCTTAATGTCATTAGGACATGCGTATGGACATACTGCTGCACAACCCGGACGTCTCTCGCCTGCCCTGGGGCCGCCACGCTGTGCATGACAGCGAGGGCGAGGCCTCGTGAGGCATCGGCGCGATTATCGCCATTAGGTGGGGCGTGGCGGGGAGTGGCGAGGCGTGGCGGGGCCGCGGATAGCCTGGCGGGCGTGGAGAGTCCTAGAGAGGCACTTGGTGGCAGCGATCAGCACGGATCAGCAGCCGCAATCGCTCCACCAGTCATCACGAGCGCTTAACAGGGGCGCTAACAAGCGAGCAGGGCGGGGATCTCCTTCTCCCCCCCCCCCCCCCCCCCCCCCCCCCCCCCCTCCCCCCCCCCCCCCCCCGTCCCCCTCTTTCTGCATGCCTGCCTGTCATGCTAATTTTAATTGCATAGAAATGCACCCCAAAAATATTATTGTAATTAAATACATACTGATTTGGAAAACGGATAACCTAAACAGCCATGGACTTTGACCACCCCCCCTCACCACCACCACCACCATAACGTTCTCATTCCAGAATGGTGAATGATGCTGGTTGGTGTGATTTCGTGCAGCACAGCGAGGACGCTGGCCAGGCTGAGCCGGGCGGGCTGACGGAGGACCTCCCTCAAGTAGTGCGTCATTGGGCCGAGAAATTCCTCGAGTGACTATTGATTGGAGCGAGCCTGGGGCTCTCTCTCTCTCTCTCTCTCTCTCTCTCTCTCTCTCTCTCTCTCTCTCTCTCTCCAGCTCCACCATTACCGCCGCAACTTGCTGCTGCTTCACCAGGAGGGGAGGAGATTAAGACACCCGGGTAGAGGGGCTGAAAAGGTGAAGACGAAGGGACATGAAGAGGGAGGGAGAAGGAAAGGGGGGAGAGGAGGGGGAGAAGGCTTCGGGGGCGCAACAGAGAGCTACACTGCCAAACGAGACCAAGAACGATCACAGCTCAGATAGGCTGCTTTCTCGGCCTCCCAGTGGAGGTCCCGCAGCAAGATCGCACGTTCTGCAGGTATGTCCTCCATAGACTAACAGCTTCAGAGAGAAGAGAAAACGCACCTGAAAAGGTTTGTGAGTGCGGGGCACGGTTGGTTGGGGGGGGGGGCGTAGCAGCCTGGCAAAGCAGTCCCCTGGTACTGGGCTACCCCCTCCTCTAGCTTCACCTCCACCCCCTTCACCTCGCCATATCTTCCTTGATCTCCAGCCCCCCGCCAGCAGCCCTTCTCCCCCTCACTCCCACCCTCCACTGAGAAATAAAAAGACGGTAGTAAGTCGCCCCCTCCTCTCGCCACCCAGTTTGGTTCGGTTACAGCCTCCTCCCCCCACCGCCCCTCGCCCTGCTCACGCCCGACACGGGAGCAGGGAGGGAGCCAGCTACTGCCTTCATTTTTGAAGACGCCAATTTGAGGAAAAGTTGGCCCGGACCGGAAGACGGCTAAAAGGCCCCAGGGACACAGAGGCCCGGCCGGCACCGCGCAACCGGATGTGAATATTGCAGTGGCGTGGCGGGGCGTGGGCGGGGCGGGGTGCGGCAGGGTGTGGCGGCGGCAAGACGACGACTATTTGTTTCTAATTATGGGACAAAGTTAGTTACCCCAAGTCCCTGAATACGGCTCCCTCCCGCCCCGCCGTTCTAGCAGAATGTAGTTTTGCCCCCTTGCCCCTGCTCCGCACTCCCGCGCCACACAGAACGCCGGGCTCGCCGCTGCTAGCCGCGCCCCGCCACGCCTCGCCACGCCCCGCCACGCCCCGCCACGCCCCGCCACGCCTGTCCCGGGGGTAAGGGGCGGGAATTAGTTTGAGGTGATTTACGCGGGGTTCGGAAATTGTCTCTCCTTGACGTCCTTGTCCCTCCAACGCGACGGTCTGCGCTGCCGGCCGAGGCGAACAGAGACGGGGAGAGACGGTGGTGAGGGAGGAGGTGAGGTGGGATTGAGGGGAGAGGTGAGGAGGGAGGTGAGGGGGAATGGCAACGCGTCCCGGCCTAACAGACCAAACCGCACGTCAAGCCAAGGCGTCTTCCCGGTAGGCGCGGTAGGGGTTGACGGGCGGGGGAGGCGGCTGCCGCCGTTAGCAGCCGTCATTTCCGCGACCTCCCCCGGATAAAGTCACGTGACACGCGTCCTAGCGCCCCCCCCCCCTCCCCCGAGGAACCCCCTGTGCTCTGGCACAACAGATCATCAGGGCTCATTTTACCGAAATGAAGTAGCACGAGCAAGGCGGTGGCTCACGCGGCACGGCCGGGTTTGCCGTCGGAGCTTTACGGCCCAAGTCGGCTGAAGTCGGACTACCAGTTATGCATGCTTTACCCACCGCCCTTCGCGACGGTTCACTCCACTAGCGTCTAGAATCCATATGAACCAACCATCACTGCAACGTTACAAAATACAGCAAGGAAGTAAGGTAGGTTCAAATGGGTTCTAGACGCTAGTGAACCGTACATAAAACATACGGGTCGAGACCGTAAATATTTGGACCGTACTTCAGACCAAGACAACCCGCCCGCACGCGTGAATTGGGGAACAGCTCTTGTCTCGCGATCCACGCAAGTATTTGAATTTGTCTATATATCTTTGTTGCTATAACAGGGCGGACGGGATGAATAAGCCCGTGAAGTGTGTTTGTAGACTTTGCGCGATCGGTTTACACCACAGTTTTGTAGTTTTACAAACCTTGTTGAAATGTACGATTCGCTATAGTTACGTCCGTTGCCACCCAAATCACATGCAGTGTTGTTTGTTTTCGTACTCACCTTGTCGAAGGCCAGAGGCCTGCTCGTACATCCCTTGCCCTGGTCGGCGGCGGACGCTTCCATGCTGTCCGCCGGCTCCTGCAGGGCGTGAGGGGCGCGGGGGGAGGGGGGCGCTACCCCCTTGGGGAACCCCCTGGGGAACCCCCTGGGGAACCCCCCGGGCTGCGAGGGGGGCTGGGGGGTTGGGGGCGGGTCTAGCCGACCTCCATGGGGCTCTGGGCCCTCCCCATCACGCCAGTCAACGACTTCTGCGTTCTGCAACAGAGAGACAGATGTGTATCAGTACAGTTGTTTGGGCTAGGGCGCATCAGCAGGTTGGGTTCGTGCTTGGCAGTGAACTCCGAGACAGGGACCACAACCACAACTAACATTTGTCCCTACTCAGGCTTACTGACGGTTTGGAAAAAAACGAAACGTCTTATGAAAGCAAATGCATAGGGACGTCTTGGTATTTTCAAATTAATTGTCATAAAATGTCATAAAAATCAGGACGACGTTGTTAAGGTTTTACCGTGCAGATTGAACATTAACACCCAAATGATGGTGACGTACCGCGAGTCAATATTTCACTGTCCATTGTAATAAAAATAAAAGGATCTAGGGAAAAAATTGACAAAATTATTTTTTCAAAATGGAAGGCGATATGTTGACAAGTAGAAAACGGTGCGTCGAAAGATTCTGTCTTTAATAGCCTATGGTCCTAAAAAATATTATCGAATTGGTTCAAATTTGGAGCTGTTGTTCTCGTGGTACACTCGAACGAAAGGTCGAGAAGTCCCCAACACGCACATTTACATTTCGCAGCCATTCGCTCACTCTCGAAGAAGTTCAAAGAGGGTCTCGTGTTGCTGAGGAAAGCGGGCGATCAGCACATTGTATTTTGAGAGGGACGCGGGGAAAGTAAGTAGGGCCGCGTAGCGGACAAAAAGGTGGTAGATTGCCTGGTTGGGGAATTGAATGTGGCACGTGCGGATCCAAAGTAGACACTGTAAAAAATTGTCGTACCGGGTACAGGAAAATTTTCCATGGAAGAAGTCGTACAAGTACAATCTAAAATTGTACAATTTACTAGCCCTATGTATCGACTTGGAATCGAATATCGAGCGACAGCGGGAGGTTGTACATGTACGACTCGTATTGTAGATGGCAAATTACAAAAT